GTGTCTGTGTTGGGTGGTGTCTGTAGAGAAGCGTGTGTCTGGCGAGTCTGCTGCTGTAGCGCAGTGCGGGCGGAGGACAAGGGCGAGGGAAGCTGAGCGCGCGCACATACTTGAATACATTTACATCCGGGTCCTATAAATATGAGATCTCCCTCCTCGAGTGCCACTTTGTGTGTCACTGTGCTAGTATATTCTGATTAGTGCAGTAAACACTCAAACGGAATGAGTGCTAAGTACAGAAAGTACAGGAGGCTCTATGTACGCCCTTTAAACGTGTGGAAGTCACACTCAAAGGCGTTGCGTGTAAGAGGACGTGTACAAAGGTTACGCCGTGCTTTTTTTCGTGCGAGTGCAGGCGGCCGAAGCACGCGCACGACGGCGGCCGTACGCGTTTCCCGTTTGCGTAGGCGCGCGAGGCGTCTCACTCCGGCTCCGGCTCCGTGGGAACTGCAGGGAAATGGCCTCCGCCCCAGCACGTGCGTGACACACCCCCGTCATTATTCTTACTTTAGCAACTCTTAGCGCGGTCGCTCATGGCTGTTATAAAGATTAGAGCGATAAATAAAATCCACGAACTTAGCCACCGGGTAAATCAATGCTTGCGTGATCGGGCGGCTATTAGTGCCTACCAGAAAATGCACTAATTATCGATCGCGAATGCAAACACATCAAATCAGGTACTGGGCGCTCCGACAGCCTTCCCACCGCGCCAAGACGACCTCCAAGACGGTTATTCCGCCCTCTGGCACTAGGCGAAGCATTTTCAAAAGATCAATCCATCTACACATCTTTCCTACGTGTTACGAAAATTTGAATCCACGCCAAAAAGTACGACATCCTTACAGCTCGAGACGAAGATCTGCCGTCTTCAAGTGTCTGTGACGTCATGACTGTGAAGCCTGAGACGACGCGAAGACAAATCTCTTAAGATCACTATTTCCTTACGGCGTCCGAAACGTTAATTGTTGTTATATTTCGCTCTAGATTCGTGATGTTGTGCGTCTTCACCTCCGATTTTATTCATACAAACCTGGAAACAATGAACTATCATGCATCAACACCTGATAAAAAATTGATGTTCTTCTAGCCTGATGAAGCCTAGGGTTCTCGTTCGCCCGTCTTCGATTAACCTCAGCGTGGTTGAGGCCCGAATTAAACATCAAAAGACTTTTTCTCCAAGTTAGGGCGACCTTTCAATCCCTGAATGTGATATATATGTCATCGTAAGACTGTCACCGCCCGCCGCCGCCACAGGCGCCTCGGACGCCCATAAATGCTTACAAATCTGTTTGTTACAATTTCCGACCATTGAAATGTCTCCACTTGGCCCCCGGCCGGTACCTTTCCTCCTACCCTCTACTTGTAAAGAAAAGGACATTCTAATTAGGGTACAAAAGTCAAGGGTGGGGACGGGCTGCCTAATGATCCTTAAACACAAGACAAGCAATTTTCGCAGCTCATTTATTTCAGCAATATGAAATTCGTGCGCCTCATTATTTTGTGCACTCGAGGAGGGGCTGGATACAGGGCCTCGTGTCTTCGTTTTATATATGGCTCTTCGCTGCTATGACTCGAGTGAAGCCTGGCTTTTTTACGGACGGAATTAAACATTTTATCACTTCTGAAAATTACCTTGAGCTCTTAAACTAGATTCTTCAAGAGATCTGCCGAGAGTGAGACCATATTTTCTAGGACCGAGCCTTTTGGGAATGAACAAAGACGGCTTATATTTAACACACTTCAACAGGTTCGTCTTCCAGAAGGGGAGAAGCTCGCGACGCCGAAGGCCCGAAGGGAACGCCCGGAGCAACGTCGCCTCGAACGGACAAACGAACGAACGGACCGATCTAAACGGTTTAAAAGAGACAGATTAAGAGAGAGAGAGGGAGAGAGAGAGAGAAAAGGGGTGGAGGGGGGGGGGGTCTGAAAGAGCGAGAGATAAAGAAAAACAGGGAAGCGGCGAGGAGAATTCTGCAGAGGAGAACCAGTCCCAGGTTTTGGTTCCAGCAGAACAAGCCTGGACAAAGAAGCTAAGTCCCTCCAGCACCTCTGGCTAAAAACCCTCGTGCCTCTGGAGTTGCGAAATTAAAACGCAGTCCTTGAGACAATTGCGAAGCGCACTCTGGCACGATCACACTTGGAGGGCCTTCAGCCTCGCCCAACAATACAATGCACATAATAGCTACAAGTGACTCATTGATAATTTCGAAAATTGATAAATGTGAACTAATCGAAGAGGCACTTTTGTTTTCTCGAGAGACCTACTTCACCTCGGCAATAGCGGATACAGAATAAAAGCGAGAGACGGGGAGGGAGAGCAGGAGGAGGAGGAACAGGGAGAGAGCAGAGTGAAGGGAGGAGGAGAGCAGGAGGAGAGGAAAAGGAAGAGGACAAGGAGAGAGGAGAGGGAGAGGAACAAGAGCAGGAAGAGAGAATGAAGAGCGGAGAGGGACAGCAAGGAAGAAAGGGAGGAGGGGGGAGAGGGAGAGATATAAAATTT